GAGTTAGGAACTCCTGAGGAAGAACACATTTGGACGACAGGCAGTCACAAATTCAACGTCTTGGAGATTTTCGTTGTCGTTATTCTAGTTTAGTGGGATCTCATTTGAATGCTCGTGTTCTCTCTCATAACTCCTGCAATACATTTTCTTCTTGGCTTTACAAGTATCAATGTGATTGATCAAACAAAAAAAAATGATTTGTGTTGGCTCAATAAGGATTTCACAATGAGAACGTATTTAGACACTTGGTATCTTCACCCCTCAGCCTATAGCCTGCCTTCTTGCCAGAGGATCAAATGCCCTTCACTGGGCATTACGGATGGACCTTTGTGTTTCTGTCTTAGGAGCAGGCTTGCTGGCAGTAAAGCCTGGCATTGCAAAATCCTTCGTTAAGCCTTTGTTTAATGCCAGAGATCTCAAATGCTTGCAGATTCTGGAGAGTTGCCAAAGTGTGCTCCTGGATTAGGAGACGACGGAAGGAGTGCCTTAATCTATAAACTTAATATAAGCTACCATTGCACATGAGCGAAGCATGTAGATTGTTGGAAGGAGTCCAGGGATGTTTGGAGTTCCTTTTTCAGCCCATACAAATTCTGAGCTCTTGAACGTTTATAATTACGGTCTAATTGCTGCATTATTATTTGTTCTACCTTGAAGTGCGTCTGGAAAAAAATTCAGCCCGTTCCTTTTGCTGACCCTTAGGGTGTGTGATAGCTATGGGCTGGTTTACTCCTAGGAGATTGTCATTTATCTTTTCTGTCCAAGACCTTCGTGTAGGAAATGTGAGTGTTTGTGCACCATTGAGAATGATAATCAGTTTAAATGCTTTAACACGTTACACAGTGCATGTCTGGGCGAGTGGGGGCTAAACACACCCGTGGTATTTTGTGCCTAGATTGCTAAAGCTCCCCTTGTACATAAATAGCAATATTTTTACTATGAAATACAAGATTATCCCAAACCATGAACTGTCTTGGAGAGTCTGCACTGCTCTTTGCTCTGCCTTTTCCTCTGCCAGTCTAGGATTAGACTCAGAGTAGGTGTGTCCAGATGGTGAGCTAAATATCACTCAGAAGAAGAAAAAAAATCTTAAAGATTTGGCCCTGCTGAACTCCTGGGATTCCCAGCCTGCACCTCCGGGTTGTGGAGCCAGCCTGGATCCTCGCCAGTGGCGCTGGTCTGCCGGAGGCAGCCTCCGCTTGTGGTCAAAACTCCCTGTATTCCCAGCCACTAGCGCCTGGGTTTTCAAACAACCCAGATTCTGGTGACACGAAGGGCAGACTGTGGCAGCCATAACACTGAGTAATGCCAGGAGGTGTCTTGTAGAGCAGACAACGTGGGTGAGTGCTCAAGAGAGGCAATACCTCTAGCTTGACATTCAAATGACTGAATTATTTAAATGAATGTCAATTAGGTGGAGTAGACTGGCTGCCTTCTGCCAGGGCACTTGCTGTTATTTGCACAGGCAGGTGTAGAATGCTCACATCAGAAACGGTGCTTCCTGTTGGAGCTGTTGAGACTCAGTCACGGGATGTCATTGTCCGTTCCTTGGTGTCCTTTCGTATCATAGTCTGCCAGACTCAGGGGCCACACCTGTGGCCTCTAGATGGGTTTTGTGATCATTCTCTGCCCCAGCCATCCTGCCCACAGGTCCACACACGTTACGGTTATTCCTGACTGCGACGAGACTGAAAAAGTGAGTCATGGACATTTTGAGGCCTGCTGTATTCCTAAGAATTGTGGATTCTGAGATCTGAGAACACTGCTGTCTCGCTTTTAACCTTCTCTGTGAAGGTGGTAATCCTAGCTCAGAAAATCTTTTTGGCATCTCTTTGAACTAATCCACTCCGTCCGACTGAAATTGCCAAAGTGGCATTTAATCAATGTGGCTTTGTTTATGTGTGGTAATTCATATCTTTTAATAAATTCCCGATCTTCCTTTACAATTGAGTGTATACAAAAATAAAAACACGAGAGAGTCTGCTAATTAGTTTTATGGGAATAGACAAACTGAAAAGATTTAGTATTGGGTGAGGGGAAAATAGGAAAAAGAAGTTGGAGAAGGTTTTACTCTTTTTTCATTAGCTAACTATTGGACTCAGCTCATATCAGTTCTCGAGTTAATTATTACATATCGCTAACAGCAGTTCCTGCCTGTTTTCTGTTTCTCAGTTGTGGAGGGTGAAAACAACGAAAACCCTGCTTTTTGACATCTTGACTGAAAAGGGTCACCAACTTGGAGTTAGTCCTCAGGCCTTGGTCATCTGTAAGCACCTCCCGAAAGTATACAGAAGGCTCAGAGGAAGTGTTTAATGAAGGAATGGATCCTTGTGCGTTAGTTTAGGATCCCGTAGGGTTAAGATCTGATGTAGATCGATACTGCCTTAGGCCTATGTACCCTACAGAGTTGGGCATAGTGAGTTGAGTTTCACTGAAGGTGGTACTTGCTGGAGGCTGCTCATTTCTGTCAGGATTCTTTAGGTTACTCTCCACACATCTGTCAGCCTATCTATGCATCTGTCATAAACTACAGGCCTTGGAAAAGCAGTGTCCCTTCTTGCATGTCTGGACTCAGACTTTGGGCTGAAACTTGAAGCACAGAGTTCATTCTGAAAGCATGTTAGAGACATTATTTTAGATTTTAAACATTTACACTTTTCCTTAGAGTTACAAGTATCGTTAGTTCTTAGATGTCCTTGGACCGTCTGTTTCTACAGGATCAGTGTTACGTGGGCCTGTGCAGTCTGGGGGTAGGACTTGTTTGCTGCTGCTGTTCCCGGTGGACCTTAGGTGCAGCAAGTTGAATAAATCATTCCCCTCAGTCCACTATCATTGCATGAACAGCTGCTCTCCTAGTTTATTTTCATTTTGCCCCTTCTATCCCAACACTGAACCCCGAAGCCCCAGCTCGGCATCAGTGAGCACATATCTTTTGATGTGTAAGGTATATCTCCTTGGATATCCATGGCCTTTTAAAAATATTAAGAGTTTCAAAATATGTGTTTGGGTTTCAGGTTTAGATCCATTGTATTATTTCACTTTTGAAATATAGTCTTTTTAATTCTCTGCTGAGGATCACAAACAAATCACCAGGACACCCTTGGCACCGTGGGCTCTGCCCCTCACCCTACTCATCCGTTTCCGTCCCAAGATCATCACCTGCTGTGCAGCATAGTTGGCAGCGCTCAGCCCAGCTTGGTGCCATTCAAGAGTGACAAGCATGTCTAGACTCCCTAGAAATATTATCTTTCAACTGTCTTTTGGCAAGTGTAAACTTTCTGCTAGATTATATCAGCAGATATATGTGTTTCTTCTCATAGACATAGATTGGTGCTGGAATTGCTCTTGGATTTCTCTAGGCAGAAAACGTAAAGACTATCTCTTTGCTAATTAAAATGTTTGCTCATTAAAGATGTCTGAGGGCTCTCGATTCTCAGGGGTGAGGCTGGTGACACACATAGCACTGGCAGTGGCTATTTTGGATTTTCGGCTTTCAGGCCTGTCTTTACTTTTGGAAGAGCCCCTTGTGGTTTTCAAAAGAACTAGCAAGTCAATTATAAATAGAAGGCTTGTGTCTGTGTGTCTGCATGGACTTACTCTGTGGGACGAGGCACCCACATGACAGTGGGCAGTGAACTATTTTTCCGCTTCTTTGAAGAGGGAAGAAAGATGAAGAATGCTTTTCTCTTTTTTGAGATAACCCACATCTCTACACACACCCACACAAATCTGTGTAAATGAACCTGACATTTTCAAAGACCTTACCTGAAGGTCTTCTCTTGAAAGCACAGCCCCCTGACCTGTTATTTTAAGAAAGAAGCGGCTGTCTCGCAGACCCACCAGTGAGGGTTCAAGGATTAGAAGGCCGCCTCTCTGTGCCATAGACCTTCAGAGGGAGTTCTGGAAGCTGGATTTCCTTATATGAGCAGGGCTGTGGTGAAAGCAGCCTCAGCTAACTAATCATGGGCCTCTAGGACTTGGCTGTTTACATTCTGTCTTCTTCACTTTGCTTCGTCACTGCTAAAACTGTTGGGACCAGCAAGTCTGAACTAATCATTTCAACAACAGAGGGGGCAAAGAGTGCTGTGACAAATGGAACTGCAAATAAGTGTTTTGAGAAAGAGGCAATTAGGAGGTCTGATTAGGTATGCTTCCCTGATGATATGTTTCTGCCTCTCTTTCCATTGCACCTTGCACTCACCAGGTGTGAACTCTCCCTTTGGTCCTATCTGTTACTTATTGTTCAAGCTTTGTTTTGTTCCCTTTGTCTCTTTGTACTCTCATTGTGGATGTTGGGTGCCAGGTCTTTTCCTGCCAATTGAAAATGCTTTAAGAAGCTGTTAATTCCCATTATGATCAGCATAAAAACCTCAATGTTACCACTGTTGAAAAGTTAGTTTAGGCATATAGCTGGAAATATTGAGAACACAGATTTGTAATTATAGGTCATGCTTCTCTTTATATGAACTCTTACTAATGTATTTCTGAAGCAGTCAGGTTCTGAAATAGAGGCATCAGCCTTTCCTATTTCATTAGTTGATGCAAATTTGTACAGAGCTAGCGGGAAGTGATATTAGCAGCTGCCATATATTTAGGAGCCATCTTTTTCTATAAAATAAATATAATGAACACAATAATCCAATAAAGCATTTTCTTTTGATGAAAGAATTGGGATCCAAGAGTCCAGTAAGCCAAAGGTAGTGGGAAAACCATGGTATAGAAACTCATTTATAGAAGTTTGTGAATAGGCAATAACGACACTTTGGCCTGGTGTGCTTTAAAAGAGTACATAGCCTGTGTAAATGCAATAATAGAGAAGTGGCTATTATTTAGTGGCTTTTCAAGTGACAAGGTCACAGACTGTGTGCGTCAAGGTCAGTGGCTACGACATTCTGTTCAGTGAATGTGTTGGGAATGGTCATGGAGATACTGCTACTCCCTCATTGGGGGTGAAACACATAAAGTGATTTCTTTCCTCCCCTTCCTCTCCCTTTTTTCAGATGAGAAGCCCAAGGTCAACCACAAACTTTACATGTGTGTATGTGAAGGTCTCTCCTGTGGGAGTGAGGACCACTGTGAAGGCCAGCAGTGCTTCTCCTCATTAAGTATCAATGATGGCTTCCATGTCTACCAGAAAGGCTGCTTCCAGGTCTACGAGCAGGGCAAGATGACCTGCAAGACGCCGCCATCACCGGGCCAGGCTGTGGAGTGCTGCCAAGGGGACTGGTGTAACAGGAACATCACGGCCCAGCTGCCCACTAAAGGTTCCCATTGACTTTTCTATTTCTAGATCATGGGGTTTTGTCAAAGTTGCTGATTCCATGTCTGTTAGAGACCTAAGTGACCCCAAGACTTGATAGAGACTCTTTGAGCTGTGGGTGATGAGAGGAGGAAGGTGGCTGTAGGTGAGGAAGAGAAAGCCCTGGCCTGTTGGCAACTGAAAGGAGGGTGGACATTTTAGGGAAAGATGGAAAGGCCGTGTCTACTCTGGGGATGGCTTGCTTGATCAGTTCTCTAATGGTTGCCAAGAACAGCTGATCACCTCCTCGCATGTTTTTCTGTTAAGGGACTATGTTTTTGTTCATAATTTTTGAAATAATTCTAGTTTAGAAATAATAATCTCTAAGTCACTGTGTTGGAAGAAACATGGCATACGAGGCTGCTGGCTGAATGGAATGCCTTTCCTCCTTGCTGAGGAAGGAGCCACAACAAGGCTCAGTGACCTTTCTTCTCAGATCTGATTCCCAGTCTTCTATTGCTGAAACTACAAGTTGGATGAGATCTTGCATGAATTCTGTAGTTTATATGGATTTTTCTCTCTATTGCATTTAATATGGAATCCATAGTCTATGAAAATCAATTCTGCTCTGAAACTATTTCCCTCTAAAATGAGCCCTAAATTGCTGGCTCAGAGTCCTTGCAAGTTTATGTAGATTGTCTCCAAGTCAGAAATATACTGTTAATATTCCAGGGGTCTTCAGAAAACGCATGGAAATGTGTATTATGAAAAAAGTGTGCATGGATTTCAAAATTTTTTTCACCCTAATAAGCTTACCTTTTAATTCCATTTTCCACAAACTTTTTGAGATATAATGTTATTTAATTTTGCACCTGAAAGAAGAAAGAAACCAAAAATTTGAATAGGGAAGGCCACTGGGAGCATTCATTGCAAGAAACGTCAACCAGCAAGAGATCAGGAAGGAAAACGGAAAGCTGATACTGGGTCCCATTATAGCAATTCTGAATTTATGGTGATGGCTTTAAGACATAAGGGAAGGATAAATTCTCATAAACAAAATAGGGTTGCATAATTAAAGAAATTTTAGAAAAGAGAAATCAGGTACTTAAATGTTAAAACTAAAAAGGCAGTTAAAATAAATTTGACTCATACTTGGTGAGTAAAACTTTTATTAATTGAGTGGACATGAAGAAGTATCTTCATTCATATGCAGATTAGGATGTCAATAATATGATGTTCTTAGTCTGCAGAAAACCCTGCCATGCCCTAGGTTTTAATAGAATATTTATTTTCTTTATTTAAGAAATTTCTAATCTCATTAAGGAGGCCATATATTTATCATTCAGTGTTGTATTTAATTAGTTTATACTCCACCATAGAAATGCCATACGTCATGGCATATCATGAATGCAAAGTCATTGGCTTGGGAAGTCAAAGGAATGCATAAAGGAAGTTGGGCTTGAGATTGGATTGCTGAATGGGCCAGGAACAAGGAGGCGAGTAAGGCATGTGTAGAGAAGAACAGTGCTTGGGGACATGATGTTGTGAAGGAGTCTGAAATTCAGAGACGATTATTATTTTGGTAGCCTTTGGTTATGAACCTTCACGATCCAATCCAGGAACTTTGTTTTAACTCACCAGGCAAGTAGAAAGACTTTGTGACTATTTGTTCAAGTGATATTTGAAGTCTTTGACTGAATACACCAGTGTTTGAATGGGTAATGTAATAATGTCGGAATGAGAGAGTGAGTCAGTGAATGGGTATGTGAATCGGGGAGTAAACATACAGGTGAATGAATGGGTTTTTAGGCAGAAATCGTGATGTGGAAAGATCAATGAGAATTTTAGCAGTAAACATCTAAGAATATTAAAGAGAAGGACCACAGATGGAGTAATTTGGTTTTAACTCAACACTTTCTCATGGGGATATTACAGTGTAGTATCTGTCTGTAAGGGCTTGATGATAAAATATCTTTACATATCAAAATCAAGTTAATAAAAGTACTATCAGAGATTTGTACAGTACTTTATATTTTAAAAGCACTTTGACATACATATATTAATATAGTTGATTCTCAGTGGAATTTTTTCAAACTCTGGTTGTGCCTTATTGGATGATGGTTGACATGGCTGGGCCATTGCCAGGTATTAGGAATATTTTAGTTTTAACACTGTGTGGCTTGTGAGGCTGTGTGCTTAGGATCAGGAGCTAACTGTTAGGGTTATTTGTTATGCCAAATAATAAAGAAACAGGGATCTTTACAGCCAGTTACTCTGTTCTCCCCCTACTGCAGGGAAGTCATTTTCTGGAACACAGAATTTCCACCTGGAGGTTGGCCTCATCATTCTCTCAGTCGTGTTTGCAGTATGCCTTCTAGCTTGTCTCCTGGGAGTTGCTCTCCGAAAATTTAAAAGGCGCAACCAAGAACGCCTCAATCCTAGAGATGTGGAGTATGGCACCATTGAAGGACTCATCACCACCAATGTTGGCGACAGCACTTTAGCAGTGAGTTTAACCCCACAGAGAATCCTAAGTGTAACCCAAATGACTCTAGACCCTTCCTTTCAATCATGAAAATCTAATTGGTAAGGGACTGGACCATGCACACATGTACTGTTGGTCAGTTATGCCCTTTACAAACATAAACCTGTTTAGTTTCCCATACGTAAGGACAGCAAAAAAAAAAAAGAGTACTTAGCAAAAAAGAGTACTTTTTTTAAGAAAGCACCTTTTGCTTAATCTTAAAAATCATTTTCCCTTCTAGATTATTTCAACAGCCTGTAATTTAAGACTTTAAAACTTGACATCCAAAAAAGCAGCCATTACGTTTTTCATGCTCCTGTGCTGCCCCCTGGTGGACTGCAGTCATTTGGCCGAACTAGTGCCGTCCAATAGAAATGTGTGTACACGACACCTGTAATTTTAAATTAAAAAAAATTTTTTTAAGTAGTCACCTTAAGCAAACCAAGTATTAAAAAAGATGGAATTCATTTTAATAATACTTATAATTTTTATCATTTAAACATACAATAAAAATTATTAGATTTTTACATTCTTTGAACCGAAAGTTTTCAAATCTTGGGTATATTTTACACTTGAGCATCTATCAGTTCAGATTAGCCATAGCTTACTCATTCAGTGGCATCCTGTGACTAATGACTACTCTCTTGGTGAAGCCATTGCATTTTAGCATTTTAAAGTTATTTTGTATACTTTATGGTAATTCATATTAGTAAGTGACTGTCTTCCTTTGTTGACTTTTTAAAATTGCCAAGTGTTAATTTTAAAGAAAATTTAAGTGGGGAGTAGGAATCACTTGGTACAAATAGAAGGTTACTATAGATGGTAAAAGAAAGAAAATAACAATCTACATGGATCCTAACTTGAGTCTGATGCCAACTCTGAAAAAAGCAAAGGTCTGTGGGTGGTACAGGGGGTGAAAGACATGCTGATACCAAATCAGGACTCTTTCCTTGTCATAATCTGATGAGTTGAAAGACAGGTAAGGTAATGACTTTCTAATATGATTCAATGTTATTTAATGCTATACCCATATATCATCCCAAATCATCTTGTATTAAATCTTGTTCTGCTTGATCATGAATTTACAGCATCCTGGTGGTTCCCCAGTTAAATCTACCCTGTAACTTCCTTTTGGCTTAAGCAGACACCTGTCACCAGTGGCCATCTTGGTACTCAGGTGCTATACCTGGGCAGCTGCAGGACCCCCTAGTGAGTTGTCAGGACATTTGGTGGTGGCTGACACAGGCTGGTAAACATTCCAGCCTACCACCTGCCCCATCTCTGGGCTACCAGTGTAATGCACTTTTTGGTATGAAAAGGTCTGGAGTGACCTTGTGTAGCTTCCTTTTACTCCTACTTGAGCGTTAGTACAGTGGAACTGGGGGAGGAGAGGATAGAAGGGTATTCTGTCTTGAAAAGTAGAGAAATACAATATTTTGTTGGAAATACACTTCACAGCCTATTTCAAGCTTTAAGGAAAATTAAATGAGTTTATTGAGTTAGGAGCAAGAAGATGTTAGGATGAATCCTGACAAAGCTTCAGCCAAGTGCGATTCTAAAATAGATTAGTCAGAACCTCTTTGCTCACAGCTGCTAAAATAACTAATTACCAACGGCAATAATTGGAATATCTAGTGTAAATTACTGTTTAAATCGCTTTTAGAATTTTGAAAGAGGAGTGCAAGCGTATGCCAAAATAGTTCTCTAAACACAACCACGACAGATGACATTAAATCATGACACAGTAGCATATGAAAGAACACAATTTGAAACAAACTCTCATTACTGGTCAACATACTTGCTTATTTAAGTGAGGCACTCATGTATATGATTCAACAAAGCATAGCCTGACCAAACCACTTGCCTACTTAAAAAAAAAAAAAAGCAGCCTTGCAATCGGAGTTGAGGTCAATGTTTGTTAATAGTGTTTAGTGTGTTTGCTTTATTCCCAACGAGTTCCCCCTTGCACACCTCCCCTGCTCTAACTCCTTGCCTTCGATTTATGGGCTGGGCTTAAAACCAGAACTGTGTACAATGAAAAACAAAAATGCTAGTTTAGTTTTCAGAATTATTCTTTTAAAAACATTTAGTGAAATAGAAAAAGAAAACAGCCAAGGAGAGAACGGTTAGGGGGGATATCTGAGACTGTACTTCATCTACACGCATTTTCTTGTTGATTATTCCTTTTGTGGTTTTTAAGGGTTCTAAATTTCTTCCGTTGGATGTTCAGCTTTTGGTAATTTTGCTGTTCAACAGTACTTCACAGTGGTGCTCACAGGAAGTGAGAGCAGATGAAATTCACACAAATCAATGCATTGCTTTAATAGGCCAACTAAAATGTTTGGGAAAGGAAAAGCTTTGGGGAATGTTAGCTCAGCATTACTGCAACCTTCCCACCATCACCACAGGCACAATATTGTTTATTGCAGATAATCCATGCCAGATACCATGCTTCTTGGCTTGCGCTGAGAGAAAGAAGGAAAACTTTATGAATGAACTAACTGGAATCTTCTTGGCAACCTGTTTGTTTATAGAAGTCTTTGTGGGGCTCTGGTTTTATGTGTTTAGTGAAAGTATAATTTTTTCCTGTCTGATTTGTGTTTCACAATGAGAAATGACAAGTAGGTGTTCATTTAGTAACCCTTTTGTTCCTTACCCACCTAATGATATAACCTCCATCCATGGAGTCCACCCCTGCCTGAGTGTACCAACTGAAAGATCCTCATGGTTTTTGGAGTCTTTCCATTAGAAACATTTGAGTTGTTTGTTCTTGATTCCTAATTTGTTTTTTCCTAATTAGAGTTCTGTAGTTGGTATGGCAACTACAGTGGATCATTTGGTAGATCGTGAGCATAGCAGAATATGGTAAATTGTACCCAGTTCTTGGAGTTAAAAGAATGCCCCCTTCCTTCTTTACGTTTAACCTGCTGTTCTTTCTACTGCTTCCTGTTGTACTCAGCCCTACTTACTGGACTTCCTAATTTGCACGTTTGATTTTGCTCAGCCTCTTCATGTATTTTGTTATAAAATTCTGGGTACAAGAAAGGACAGTTTCTCACTCAGGAAAACCTATCATGTATTTGGGAAAGGGCTGGATTCTGGTTTTCTGAGGAAATGAAGCCAAACCTTCCAGTGGAGCTTTCCATGAACACTAGGGATCACGTGCCTTCCATGTGAGTTACAACATGCAGACTAATACTCTACACTGAGTTATTGCTCAACAGCTGCCTTTTTTTCCTTGTCTTAAACTACAGGATTTACTGGATCATTCATGTACGTCAGGAAGTGGTTCTGGTCTTCCTTTTCTGGTACAAAGAACAGTGGCTCGCCAGATTACACTATTGGAGTGTGTTGGTAATGCCTTTTTTTCCTCTTCCTTTTTGAGTGTTATGCATTATTTTTAAAGATTTATTTTGTTTATTTGAAAGGCAGAGTGATGGAGAAGGAAACACACAGAGTATCTGCTGTTTTACTCCTCAAAAGGCTACAACTGCTGAGTTGGGCCATGTTGAAGCCAGGGGCCTGGAGCTCCATCTGGGTCTCCTGTGTTACTTAGGCCATCTGCTGCTTTCCCAGGCACACTAGCAGGGAACTGCATGGGAAGTGGTGCAGCTCGGACTCAGACCCACACTTGTACATGGGATGCTGATGTCACAGGCGGCAAAGTAATCACTCTGTGCTGTGACACTGGCCCATGGTTATTATTGTTTTTAAATCCTGCTTTTATTAGTTTAATGTGGCAAATCACATGACAATTTTCATTGGTTTCTCTTTTAGGTGGCAGACGGAGATGGTTTCAGTAGCAATAGTGGGTTGGCAGTGCCTCTACAGTCTCATTCTAGTGATAATGGGTTACTCTTTTATTTATCTATCCACCTCTCCATCCATCCATCCATCCATCTATCATGAAAGGCAAAGAGACAGAGAGAGGTGGGTGGAAGGGGCAAAGACAGAGTCTTCCATTTGTTGGTTCACTCCCCATTTGCATAGAGTGGCCATGGCTGGGCTGGGTCATATGAAAGTCAGGAGCTAGTAACTCAAATTTTTTTTTTTTTTCATTTATTTGACAGATAGAGTTAGACAGTGAGAGAGAGACAGAGAGAAAGGTCTTCCTTCTGTTGGTTCACCCCCCAAATGGCTGCCACAGCCAGAGCTGTGCCGATCTGAAACCAGGAGCCAGGTGCTTCCTCCCGATCTCCCATGCGCATGCAGGGGCCCAAGCACCTGGGCCATCCTCCACTGCCCTCCTGGGCCACAGCAGAGAGCTGGACTGGAGGAGGACAACCGGGACTAGAACCCGGCATCCATATGGGATGCTAGCACTGCAGGTGGAGGATTAACCAAGTGAGCCACGGCGCCTGCCTATAACTCAATATGGGTCTGACATGTGGGTGGCAGGGAGCCAAGTGCTTGAGCCATATCTTGCTTGCCTTCTATGGTGTGCATTAGCAAGAAGCTGGGATTGAAAGCAGAGTCGGGACTCAAACCCAGGCATTCCTAATTGGGATGTAGGTGTCCCAAGTGGTGTCTTAACTGCAGTGCCAAACACCTGATCCCTTTCTTCTTGTTTTCATGAGAGGAGGGACAGCAATGGAAACAGGAAGGGGCAGAGATAGGAAGAGCAGTGACTGTTGGACTAAGACACGGAGGGACCCAGCAGAAGCTTTCTTGCCATTTATCTAGGTCTGTGGCTACTGTGTTTCCCACTTCAAGCTTCTCCTCCGCAGCAGATTGTGAATAGAGAAAATGAGGATGGACAAGTCCCAAATGTGCTCATTATGTACAACCAGAGTTGTCTTATTTTACCAAGTAATATCATATTTGATTATGAACAAGGGTGTCTGATGGTGGTGGGAGGCAGTGAAGGGAGACATGTTTGAGTCTTGCCTGTTCTCTAACCTCCTGACCCCTGGCCACTCCCCATCCATGGGGCTGCACCATATCTCCAGGTCAGTCCTTGGTGATTGGCCCCAGAGTTCAATGGACAAAATAATACTACACCTTTAAAAATGCATACTGTTTCTGTAGATATTCTTTAGTATTTCTGGAAACAATGCAAACTGCCATTACATTTTCTTGGTTAGCACCAAATACTTCAAAAAAAGGTATACCTTTGGAGTTCCCTGTAATTAGTGTTTGTGTGGTACAGCTTCAAATAGACATATATGCGATGAGCTGTACAAATGGTGTGTTGTCACAAACCTGGGAAGTTGCACTAGGTCTATCATTTCCAGGTGGTGCTCAGTGAGAATCCAAATTTCAGGTGCCTTTAGGTATCTCCCTTTTGAGCCTCCTTGGCCAGGACTTTGGGTCATCTCTGCTTTTGTTTTAGGGTCTTCTGCATAATGTTGCATTTGTAACAAACATTTCAAAACCATGAAATACATTTCTATTTTCATTCTACCTACTCTATCATTCATCTCCTGCTTTCTAAAAAGGAATTTTTTTTGGAGACAACCCTATGTCCACAATTCCCTGGGTTATTTTTCTCTCCTCCCCAATGAAAGATTGAGAACATAGAAAGAGAGAGAAAAAATGGAACAAAGGCAAGAAAAGATTAGCGTGCCATTTTTCTAGTAGCTAATGTTGTAGTATCTTAACAGTAGCTGTCATCTTGTGATGGGCAAATGCTTTGACTTTATTAAAGTGAATCCTGTGTGGCCTGACAGCACCCCACAATGAGCAATTCCTGGTCATATTTCACATGCAGTTGGATCCATTTTGGTATTTAGTAAAGACATTATTTCTTGCCAGAGAATCTAGAGTCAAGGGTTTTGATTAGGTTTTGAGTGTGTTGCCTGGAGAGGTCTGCATCTTTCCATGTTTGGGTTCTCAATGTCTTAGTTTTCCACCAAGGGATTGCTTGCCTGTAAATGCTGGTAGGTGTTGCTGCTGTCTTTTTAAAGCCACATGATCCCGGTGATCCCTGCAGCCTCTTGCCTGGGTAGACAGCCCCACTGGCCTGCAAGTTGTATCCCCTGCTGTGTCATCATCTAGGCTCATTATACCCCTTGCTGATCCCCCTTAGTTTAGTGGTAATTACCTCCTCCTCTCTACCCATAATTAAAGAGAAGAATGGAAGAGGGAGCCTGTGGTTGACAAGATGACAAGTGTGTTGCTGCTGCAAAGGGGGCCATGCTTGCAAGAGGTTAGCACGGTTTTCATGTTTCCTCCAAGTTGCCTTTTCAGTTTAGCCCACTTGTGGCATCAGAGAGGCTGTCTGACAAAAGACTACCCATGACCAATGTTAGAAATCAGCACTGCTCTGGGATTATGTGTTTAAGACTTTGCAAATCCTCTTTTGAAATATATCCTCTGCCAAGAAATCCTTTAGGGATGGTCGTGGCTGCTTGTCAATCTCCTACATAGTATTGTGTTTGGGCTTTTGTGTTTGTTTTGTCTTAATCCTCAGAACACATCTCAAACTTAATAGTCTCCTTTGTGGAAAAAAAATGCATAATGTAAATTCACACATTTGGATGCTTAGAAAAATGCCTTTGTTGATCCTGTATGGAGCCAAAGAACCAAGGGAGCCATTCAGTGTAGTTACATACACGTTTGGATTTCAGTACAATCTTGTAGCCAAATAACTGGTGCCATTTTCTGAGTTCTACTAACTTTCATGTGTTTTTAAGAAGTGTTTGCATTTTATACCTTTCAGTAAAGGACTCTTGAGATAAAAGGAGCAACTGGCTGCAGATTGTACATTGAAGATGCTGAAGGCAGGCACCTTGTTACCACAGTTGGTGGGAGGCAGGGACAGTTCCTACCTGATTTTTCTGTCCTCACAGACAAATGATTGCAGTATTTCTATCTCCAGTTTGGCTTTCTCTGGGAAACCTTGGGAGGGATGAAGAGTTGTGGGCCCTACGTTTATTGGCTTTTTCTTAATTAATCACTGGGCTGGCTGCCTTTTGTGTGCCCACTGTCAAAATGTCATCTTTGTTTTGCTTTCCACAGGGAAAGGCAGGTACGGCGAAGTATGGAGGGGCAGTTGGCAAGGGGAAAATGTAGCCGTGAAGATCTTCTCCTCTCGGGACGAGAAATCTTGGTTCAGGGAGACTGAATTGTATAACACTGTGATGCTGAGGCATGAAAATATTTTAGGTAAGTACAACAACGGTCCCCGCGTTAATTGTGTTGAGAAATAATTGCCTGCCCTTGGCCCTCTCTGTGTCAGTGAATGTGAATTTCGAGTCTCTCTTGAAAAGCCAGGCAGGGATCCTCAGTGTTTATGTAATGTTTAGTTTTAACACCAATTTCTTATTGAAATCTGCAAATAAGTTTTAAGATTCTCTGGATGATGAAAAGGAAATCCGTTATTGCTCATTCTTATTCCTACATCTGCAGATCGTTATTTAAACAACAGAAATTTGCCCCATATCGTTCACTTCAAGGCTTCCTGGGCTGCTCTGCTTACTCCACCCTTTTTGAATATTTATTACTTGAATCAAACTAAGAAAGATCTTTGGACTCTTTCCTAGAGATTCACAGCTCTCAGGGACATTGTAATTAAATGCACATTCCTTCAAACTAGGCATCATTTTTAAAGACCAGATTTATAGAGGGATTCAGCATACATTTTAATTTGGAAACTAAAGCTTAGCAACATTTGTGAAATATAGAAAGTGCCCGTAGAATACTGCTGCGGCAGTATAAAGGGTGAGCTTATTCCTTGGGCTCATCAGCTTCTGTGTTTCTGAAAACTTTGTCTAAATGTGTTTATACTAATATGTGCATGATGAATGCTGTCTGCAGTGCTTCCGTAATACTGGATAGAAAATTTATATCGAACTGAACTCTGCATAGCATTGTGTTGGCCACCTTATGGCTTTTGGATTAGGTCTGGCTTACAGGATGGCCAGATGTGTGTTTTTTTTTTTTTTTTTAAATCTATTTCATTACTGCCAATTTTGTTTTAAATCTGAGTCAAGTTGTCTGCAAATAATGACTTGACCCTTGTCCAAAGCTTTGCTTCAGTGGTCTGCTTGAGATGTTTGAACTGATGGCTGCTGTTTTGTTTTTTCTTTCCCTTATCTCTGGGGCCCTACTCCTTATAGCTAACCCTCCTTTCTTGTATTGTTGCTGTCAGCCTTCCCTTTCCAAACCATCTCTCCATACAGAGCTGTGTTTCATTTTGGAGCCGAGATAATTCTGCTCAAAGTGTCTTTGGTGGCTCTCAAAGTGCTTGTAACATTTATGACTTCTGGGCCTGACATTCAAGATCCCTGCTTTGGAGCTACAAGGAATGTCTTAAGTTTCATCTACAAAAATGCTCATCTTCAGCTGCTGCCAATGTTGCTATTCCTTCTGATTGCCACAGACAGTTAGATCTCTTTGTTTTTGTACTTGTTGCTCTTGAGCATCCATTATCCCCTTCTCACTCCCCATCTACCCCTTCCTCCACTGAAACCTGTCCGTTTCCTTCCAGTTACTCCCAATGGAATGACTTGTGCTTCTCTACACTCCCTGTGTTTTGTACCTCTGCTGTCACTTATCAGACACTGCTTGGTGTTGCAGGAACATGCTTATGTGTAACAGCAGTGATAGCAATAACAACAAAAGTATCAGCAGATAGTTACTCTGCAGTAACCACTGCTGTGCTTTCCTCTTCTACTCTTCACCATGACCAAGTGAGGTTAGCTGTGCTTATCTTCCCAGTTTTAACTGATAGGCAGCTGATTTACAGAGAAGTTAAATAGTAGAATGGGGAATCACACTGGAAAAGCTAAGTCATAACCACAGTTCTGTGCTGTACACCACAGTGTGCTAGGTGGTCATGTAGCAGTAGAGTTGCTTCTTACTGTGTGGAGTGAAGATGTATGGTAAACATTCATCTGTTGTTCAGATTACCTTGGGATATTTCAGTGTTCCCTCTGACACTGGAATGGGCTGAGGTTGAACAATAAATTCAGAGTTAGAAGGCATGCTGTACCCAAAATCATTAAATATCACAATTATCCCTAGTGGACAGGTACACGTGCTCTTGAGAAGTGTGAAAGATCTTGAGACTCAATGAAAGAAGGTCACATTCATGCATCCCTGTAATACTCACAGGGTTCATAGACTCATTGAGCAAACTGCTGTAGATATTGCTGTGCTATGCAAATAGTATCTATCCATGCACTCCAGTTAAATGACCTTTGGGCACTGAGAGCAAGAGTCATTTCCATTGTTTTTGCATTCACACCCAATGTTGAGTTCAATACCTTATATAAGGTAGTACTCAGTAAATGTTTATTAAATTGGACTTACAAGAAATATTTGAAAGGTAATTTTGCACTATGATTCATATATATGAAGTTAGGTTCCCTTAGTATGAGCACATAGGATACAACATTGTCCATTTCTTATTACTTATTGGTCCATGGAAATTCTGAATCCATGAGCTCTTTCTACCCTCATCATAATCACAGCCATCTGGTTTGGTTTTACTGTTTTAGTAGAGAAAGCTCATAGAAACGTCCACTCTGCCGTTTACGGCCATACCACACTGAACACACCCAATCTCCGCTGGTCTTGGAAGCTAAGCAGGGTTGAGCCTGGTTAGTACTTGGGTGGGAGAAATGTATACTCTGTTGTGTTAAGCTTTTTTTCCCATGCTTTATCAATTTTCTGGATATAGAAACTTTGTTTTCAGTGATCGTTTTATTTTCTATCAAAGAGCATATTGTGTTTGAATTATCAGTTCATGATTCCCCTGACTCGTGTAAATTGCTAACGCTAGCCTCCTCTAACACATAATTAAATTGCACATCCCACCAGTGTTTCTGTTGGTACAGGAAGGGTATTAGTTTCATTAAATTGGACTTAGTGATCTTCCTTGAATGGATTATCCAAGACATCCACTCAATGAAGAACCATGCAAATTTTTTTCCATATAAAATTAAAAAGTTTTTTTTAAAAAATTCCAAAAATTAGATTTGTATCTGTCTACACATACATGCAAAACTCTGGGCCCTCCTGGTAGAGCCTGCTGATTTAACATATTAAAAAATGTCTTTCAAATGGATTAGTTTGAATTTAAGCTCTTCCTTCTCTGTGGTTGGTATGGAAATTAACAGCTTAAGTGGTTAATAAGACCCTGTGTCCTGTGATGTCAGAAACAGATGGGAATTTGGGAAACTGGATTCAACTTTGAGCACAAGCAGAGACCCATGATGCGACTTTGTGTTAAAGTTACATCTTTCTCAGCATTCTTTTCCTTATCACTAAAACCATAGGAAAAATTCATTCTGAAGTGTTATTTTCTACTCTGTACAAAATTGTAGTGAAATATACATGGCAGAAAATATGCCATTTTAACCACTTTAAAGGTATAGTTTAGTGGTGTTAAGTACATTGTTGTATAACCATCGCCAGCGTTTATCTCCTGAGCTATCACTTGCTCTTGAAATTACCACCTAGCTGTTTAATCAAATTCTTGAGATCAGTAAGTAAAGGAATCTCCCTAAAAAGATATGACATCAAATTACTACAATAATACTACAATCACTAACTGTTCTTGAACATTTACTATGTGGTGGGCATTGTTCCGAGCATCTTACATGTAATAGCTCTTACTCTCACAGTAACCCTTTGAAATATATGTTGTTATTATCCTTATCTTGCAAATGAGGACATTGAGGTGGAAATTTTATATGCCTTGGGCAAAATCAGCTAGCCCCAGGGTGGTAGAGCCAGTATGCAATCCTAGTAGGGTAGCTCTGAGGCCCCACAACCATGCTGTCTTACATGGTGGCCTTGTACTTGGCCTGTGAAAGCTGCCCAGGAGGTACGTTGTTCCTGGGAGCATTGCCAGTGAGAGGCTCACGAGGGTAGCTGATAACCTTACTTAAGACTTTGGGTTTTATTTGACCTCTTAAGGAGCCTAGGAGGATGACTGGTTGTTAAGTAAGAGGCTTTTGCACTAATCACTTTCTCTTCCTATTATGAACACATCCAGTGGCTATGCCAGAATTCCAACCTGAGGTAGCTGTACAATCTCTACTAATAGTAGAGCTCTTTCTTTCTTTTTCTTTTTCTGAGAGGCAGAGAAACAGGGAGAAGGGGGAGGGTGAAGAGTGAGTGAGTGAGTGAGTTCCCATTTGCTGGTTCATTCTCCAAATTCATGCAGTGACCTTGGCTGGGCTGTCTGGAGCCAAGAGCTCAGGGCATAGTCCGGGTCACCCACATGAATGGCAGCAACCCAACCACTTGAGCCGTTACTGCTTCCAGGGTCTACATTGGCAGGAAGCATGCCAGAAAGTTTGGAGTCAGGAGCAGGCTATGGGCTGTGAGCATCTTAACTACTGGCCTCAATCCATACCCCTAGCAAAGTGTTTTGACTCAAAACACAGACATTCTACATAAGTGAACATCCAGCCCTGTGAAGCAAACATAGCTATATAATTCACTCCTGAGAGAGAAACCTTTGAAAAGAGCCCTGCTTATTTAGAAGTCATTTTTTCCCCCTGGAAGGAGATGGTTGTAAAGGAGATTTGGAATGCCTAGAGAGGATAAGTTGTAGTTTCCAACGTGGTGGTCAGGATTAGCCTTTTAGATCAAGCTGGATTTGAACTAAGACTCGCCAGAGGTCAGGGAGTCAGCCCCGCTCCTAGGAAGAGGGTGTTCCCTGTAAAGGGAACAGCCAGGACAGGAGCTTGAGGGACATGTTGGAAAGCGTGATTGGGCAAGGAAAGAGGTAAGCTCATTGTCCATGCAAGTCTGTAGCATAATGAACAGGACAGACAAAGTCCTTATTTAAGACCTAGGGGCCTTAGGGGAGGCGGGGGAATAAAAATTTGTTACTTGTTTACTCAGAGGCTGCTTTTCCTTTGGGGAAGAAATCAGGAGAGGCCACACAAATACGTGGCAGCAATTTAAAGTCTTTTGAGTGGTGCTTTTATAGTTTGCATTTATTTTTGAGAAAGTCATTAAAGATTAAAAGTTCCCAAGGGAAATACCAAGTATCCCCTCAGAATGTCCAGGAGAAAAATCATTCTCTCTGGGTTTGGCCACATCTGTCAGTACTTACCTTCTGTCAGGGAGAGGCCTGTTCCGTGGCCGCTTACTGAAGGGAGTCAGGTCTGACTTAATGTAATCCCCTTCCCTGGGCTCATGGTGTCCTATGCAGATGAATATTACAGATTATTGTGTATATTTTCCCCTTTTATTTATTTTTCCTTTTCTAGCCAATAAATGCTATCATCTTCGTTTTTTTCCGTATAACTGACAGATAGCATTGTAAGTGCTTGTTCTATTTGATTTTTTTTTTAATCAGTCATTTGGTATAAACTCACCTATTTATATTGTGTCCCAACAAAAGTGGCCAGAGAGCAGGTTTGAGTTACCTGATATTGCACTGTAAGTTACAGGCAGGGTCAGAACTGGAATCTAAGTATCTAGGTTCCAGGTTTTATGTTTTAGGGTGACTGATGAAGGCTCTATACTTGGAAGATCAATGTGATAAGAGTTTGGCACTGTCCTTATGGGTGAGCACAAAGATTCCTGTCTGAATCATAACACAATGTGAAGTATTTTTTTTAAAGTCACTCAGGGCCAGCTTTGTGGCATAGTGGGTTAAGCTGCCGTCTGTAGTGCCAGCATCCCCTATGTGTGCAGGCTTGAGTCCTGATTGCTCCACTTCTGAAGAAGCTCCTGACTTCATGACCCAGCCCTGGTCATTGTGGCCATATGAGGAATGAACCAGTTGATGGAAGACCTCTCTCTGTCTCTCACTCTCTTTCTGTAACTGTCTTTCAAATAGATAAAACAAATCTTTTTTTTTTTTTAAACCATAATACTTAGAATGGAAAGGAATATGAAAATTTCTTTTTTAAAAAATTTTATTCAAGGTATGCAAATTTCATGTATTTTATATATACAGATTTAGGGACAGTGATTCTTCCCACTCTATCCTTCCTCCTGAAATTCCCTGTTCATTAGCAGTGCCCTTTGTAAGGGATAAATGCTATTATTTTCCTCTGTTGGTGCATCTATAAACCTTCTGTCATGGCGATGGGTTAATCTTTTTTCAAACAAATGATGTCTGTTGTGTAAAGCACCATTTCAAAATACTAAAAGTTACAGTGTGGAGTTCTCACTGTGTTAATTTTGTTGTTGCTCTCTCCAGGTTTCATTGCTTCAGACATGACATCAAGACACTCCAGTACTCAGTTGTGGTTAATTACACATTATCATGAGATGGGATCCTTGTATGACTATCTTCAGCTCACTACTCTGGATACAGTTAGCTGCCTTCGAATAGTGCTGTCCATAGCCAGTGGTCTTGCACATCTGCATATAGAGATATTTGGGACCCAAGGGAAACCAGCCATTGCCCATCGGGATTTAAAAAGCAAAAACATCCTGGTGAAGAAGAATGGACAGTGCTGCATAGCAGATTTGGGTAAATTTCTTAAAGTATTACCATTTTTGCCTTTATTGCACTCCAGTGTTTAATCAAGTTGAACTTCTTAGCCTCCTAATTTGTTGTTGTAAAAAATTTCAATTGTGCATAAAAACTGAAATAACTTTGTAATGAACAACTGTGTATATACCATCTGAATGCTTCTGGTAACATTTAATTATTCTTAAGCTTTATTGCATGTCTCTCCAGCTATCCATCCTCCATCCATCCATCTTAACTCTGACACATTTGCAAAGTGAATTACAGATGAAAGAACTCTTCTCTGTAGCAACTTTAGCATGCTCATTGCAATATCTTGAACTAATGTATTATTTATTCTTTTTTCCCTTTCAGGCGAAATTTACATACTGTAAAATATACAAATCTTTAGTATATTCTCAGGGTTTTGGCAATTGCTACAAAATTCCAGTCCCTCTTGAGATACAGAATTTCCCATTGCTTCAGAAAGTCACTGCAGGCTCCTCCAGTCAGCCTCGTCCCACCGCATCCTCAGGGGCAGCCAGCACTGTTGTATTCTGATTTTACAAACATTTACACAAAGCAAGTGCATAATTAAATATTCCATGGAATGAGTTCATCTTAGAAATGGCTTCTGGAATCATTCTATAACTAAGGCAAAAATGTTAGTTTGAGAAAGAGGAAAATAGGTCCCCAAACCAATTGGCTTGTTGCTTTCTGGGGTCTCTCATTTTTAGGGTACTTGGGTAATGCTCAGTATCATACTAATTGCCGTGTAAGCAAGATTATTTTCATTGATGGTGACAATTTCATAAAATCATATTCATCCTAGACACCTAGAATATTGGCTGAATAACTGTGCTAATCAGAACTGAATTGAAATATTGGTTGTTCATTACAGTGGATTCTTGAGTGTTCTTACTCTGCCAGATTAAAAAAATGGGTTATAGTCATACCATTGCAGCTATTACTAGGTTGATGAAGGTTTAGACAAAATTAGCTTTAATTTTACAAATAATTAAAGCTAATTATTCTATAAATAATGAAGTTTATTTTTGTTTTTAAGCACAAGAAAGTTAATGTTTTAGGCAAATTAATTTCCTTTGAACTCATTTAAAGTCTTTACTTTCTTCACATGGAGAAAACAGTGTTTCCCAAATATGACAAGAAAGATATTTAGGATAAACATTGAAAGAGTGTGACCTGAAAGCTTTTTTTCAGTTGGTTTTAGTTGTGGTATAAAAGACTTCCATTGTTTATTCCATGGCTCCTGGAGCCAGAGTGATTTGGGATTGAACTCTGACTTCCCATAATTTACTCTGTGTTTTTCTACGAGTCTCTCTTACCTGTCTTCACCTGGCTCCAGTGCTGGCAGTGCTTACACTGGCTGAGAGAGGCAGGGAACCTTAGCCAAGGGGCTCCAGCATTTGGTTCTTATTCACTGTACTTCTGCAGTGTTGAAACTTTTATAATAGTGTCCTTGAGTATTACTCATGGAACTGAACAGTAAGTATGCCTCATAGAATTCCGACAAAATTCAGAAATTATCATAAATGCCTGGCAAATAATAGGGATTTCTCATGGTAGCCGCTGTTCTAACACAGTGGTCTGGGAAGGATGGCAAATTGAGGCAATGCTTGGCTTTGGTTTGACTCAGTGTGGAGAAGCAGGGGAGTCTTGCAGCTAATTAATCCATCAGCTGCATTTCTTTTGGCTGGCAGCCTTCCAGATAGATGCATGGGTTGGTTTAAAAATCTGTGTGAAGGAGTCGTTAATTAGAGGATAGATAATGTAGTACTGGGGACAGCTCCTCTAAGACCATCATTTGAATGTTTTACTTTATACCCAGAAATTAGGGGTATATTGTTCTGTTATTAATAATGCAAAAAAGACCAGTATTCTATTTATTTTCCTTACTTGTTGTTACCAAAAAAAAAAATTCAAACATACCAAAAATATTGAAAGAATATTATAATAATCACATAAACCTCAGAACCCAAATTCAGAAATTGTTAAAATTTTGACATTGTTTTATCTATATGTGATTGTGTGTATATTTTTCTCAATTGATTTGAAAGTGAGGTGCAGACATCATAGCACTTTACTCCTAAATTCTTCAAGATACATCCCCTGCCTAATTGTAGTTTATCACAACTAAAAATTGCCAATAATTCTTTAATATCATTTAATATCCTTTTACATTTCTAGTTTTTTTCAGTCAAAATAGCATCAAAGTTCATACATTGCATCTGGTTATTTTGTCTCAAGTGTAATAATTATTATTAGGTAACAAATCATCTATAAAACTTAGCAGCTTAGGGTCTGGCATTGTGGTAAATCTACCGCCTGCAATGCCAGTATCCTATAGGGGATCCAGGTCACATCTGCTCCACTTCCAATCCAGTTGCCTGCTAGTGGCCTAGGACAACAGTGGCAGATGGCCCAATTGTTTGGGTCCCTGCCTCCCACATAGGGGCCCCAGATGAAATTCCTGGCTTCAGCCTGGCCCAGCTCTGCTCATTGTTGCCGTCTTGGGAGTGATTCAGCAGATGGAAGATCTTTCTGTCTTTCTTCTCTCTCTGTAGTTCATACTTTCAAATAAATAAATGAATATTTTTAAAAGATTTATTTGTTTTTTATTTGGAAGGCAGAGTTACAGAGAGGCAGAGGCAGGGAGAGAGCGAGCAAGAGCGAGATCTTCCATCCACTGGTTCACTCCCCAAATGGTCGCAATAGCCAGAGCTGCGCTGATCTGAAGCCAGGAGCCAGGAGCTTCCTCTGTGTCTTCTACGTAGGTACAGGGGCCCAAAAAGGACGTGGGCCATCTTCTACTGCTTTCCCAGGCCATAGCAGAGAGCTGGATTGCAAGTGGAGCAGCCAGGACTTAAACCGGTGCCCGTATGGGATGCTAACACTGCAGGTGGAGGCTTTACCTGCTACACCACAGTGCTGGCCCCAATAAGTGAATATTAAACAAACAAACAAACAAACAAAACTCAGTGGCATAAACCAACACAGGTGTATTATCGCATATGGCCCCTTGAGAGTTAGGAATGGTAGACTGCTTTGTAAGTGTGGTCTGGTTCAGGGCCTCCTGGAGGTTGCAGAGGAGCTGCTGGCTAGGGCTGCAATCATGTGAAGGTCCACCTGGGGCTGGAGCATCCCATTCCAAGATGGTGCCCTTGGTTGGCTGTGGACAGCAGGCCCCAGTTCCTTGTCGTGTGGACATTCCACAGGGCTGCTTGAGTGTCTTTACTCCATGATGAGTGAGTGAAGGGAGAACAAACAGGAAACCTTTTATAATTTTATAATGACTATCATGTCCTAGTTTTGAAAATGCCCCGGTCACTTTTGCCATATTATTTCCTATAGTCCAGCCCACATTCAACAGATGGAGGATTTAAGCTTCAACTCTTGATGAGAGAAGTTTGAAAACATTTGTGGGCATGTTTTAGAGCCACTACAGCTAGTATTGCTAGATTCTATTTAGACTTCTAATTTTTAATATTCTGATATTTTGGCTCTTTGGTTCTGGAAGTGGTGGAGTGTTTTTGATTTGGGAAATGTTCCCAGTGGCCCTAGAATCCTGGGGATCATCATAAAAATGGGAGAAAGAGGAACTACTCTGCTTCAGTCAAATGCAGTTGCCAGTACCTTTGCTAATTATGAAGGCTGGGATCATGTGTGCTGTCTTCCTAGAGTTCCATATAGCCATTTTCCCACATGTTCAGTGTGGGAGGATAGTTGGCTTGAGGGATCCCCTAAAGGATCATTGGATGGCATATTTTTATAACGGCTTCTTGTGTCAGTTTGGCACTTTTTGTTATATTGAGTGTTATTGGACTCCTATTCCTTTGGTCTACATTTGCATCAGTGAGTAACTGTGTCTCAGATAGACCACACCTGTATCTGTCCCTCCCCACTGGCCAGTGAGGGAAGCCAAGACCTCTGTATACTGGGGAATTCTGCAATGAGTCAAGGTTGAAGAAAATGTTTCCAAGCCACTTCACCTGTGAGTTGTGTTTTAAGTTGGGGGTCCAGTTTAATGATGTGTTCTCATGATTCTGGAGAAAAACCTGTGGGTTTGCTCACTGTTATTGCTCACCTGAGCAGCGCTTCCTGTAAGGGGGAGCAGTACTTGCAGCCATCTGCCCATTATGTAGTAATGAATTACCCCAAGTTCTCCATTGCACACTGTTGAACATTTGTGTTTGGAGGCTAGTCGTGGTGGTAGTGGAGCTCAAGTAGTGGAGCTCAAGGACTGTGTTTGCTTCTTGTTGAGCCACGTCACAGCTTACATTTATCACGGGAGCTTGTTTGTCTGTGGATTTCAAACACTGGCCTCAAATTGGTTTAATGCTTTGGTCTACCACTTACCCAAACTTTTTATCTCTCAGAAGTTTGTATATTAACCTAGTAGCCTCAGAAGATTTCTGGAATGAGTCCTTTTCCTGCTGGCAATCCAGAAGTCATCAGCAAGGGCATTCCAGGGTGTATTGAGGCAACAGAGACTGTGGATACCACAAGAGGGCACTTTTGATTGGGGTTGGTTTAAAGTCCTTCAGCAGCCTCTGAGTGGATGTGTGTTGATAACACCGTTTTCTTCTTCCTTTCAGGCTTGGCTGTCATGCATTCCCAGAGCACCAATCAGCTTGATGTGGGAAACAACCCGCGGGTAGGCACCAAGCGCTACATGGCTCCCGAAGTTCTAGATGAAACCATCCAAGTGGATTGCTTTGATTCTTACAAGCGGGTTGATATTTGGGCCTTTGGACTTGTTCTGTGGGAAGTGGCCAGGCGTATGGTAAGCAATGGTAGGTATCTGATTTAATGTTATATTGTCCTCTTCCAAGTTACCTTGATACTAACACCTTTATAAGGGCAAAGGGGAATATTGAAGTCCACATTGTACCTGGAATCCTGCCTGTCTGGCTGTAGGTTTGTTTGATTTATGCCAGAGAGGAGGAGTGAAATGGCATTGTTTGCAACACAAGAGAGGAAATGATAGTTGGAAAGCAACATTTCTGGAAGAACCTAGTTATTTCTTGGATTCTCTCTGACTTGGCCCATATTTTACTCTTTCCTTCATTTGCCTATTTTGTATTCCCACCCTCATTCCTTTCTTGCTCTTCTTACAAGGTAGAATTAGATTGAGGAGAATGCTCACGTAAACCTAAGGGTGAAATTCTTCTGTGTTAGATATTTTTTCTTCTTAAGTTTGGATTATTGAGAAAAGGCTTAATTTTTTTGCACTCAAACGTCAATCTTAAATGAGTCAAACTTAAGTTCAGTCATTCCTATGTCTCTGGCTTATATTGATTTGTTTATAAGTAATTATATGAAACATGATGTTGCCTTAACATTAAGGAAGCACTTGTTAATTTTAACCTGTGTATCTTGCAATGAATGCTCACTCTTTTCTTTTTGTGTACCTAAATCAGCTACAAGTATTTTGATGAGCTTTACTTAAGTACATTGTATTCTGGTAGCACTGTTAATTCTTTCTAATGGACATGCCCTGGTAACTTCCTTGAATTAGCTAAATCAACCTGTTCATATCAACTGGAAACTTTATTGTACTGAGCATGTATCCAAAGTTGTTCCAAGAAGCAGAAGAAAATGCCATATATTTAGATCAGCATTCATTTTCAAAAGATGTTTTACATTTTACCCTCCCATGACCCACTGGAGTCCGGGACTTGAAGAATTAGACAAGGAATGTGTGATGGCTTTGTCATCCCGACTTCCACTTACATTTTCTTCTAAGGATTAACATTTGTGGGGCAGTGGTGATTTTCATGAATAACAGGCAGAGATGAGGAGATTGTATGAGAAAAGTAGAATCTGATTTAATATAGTTTTAGTGTACAATAATTAAAATTGGCATGCCTTCATGGTAGCTTTTTTTGTAATAGCAGAATGTGTCTGCTTTGAAAAACCCTCTGAGGGTGTTAAAGCAAGTAGCAAGTGTTTCAGATTAAACATACAGGATTGTAACTTGACAGTTCTTTTAAAGTACCTTTTTTTTTTTTTTTTATGGATTCATGAACATTTTCCTAGTAATTGTTTCTCAATCCTTGGGAGTTACTGCCTTGCAATTTGTACCACTAAAGTGCCTTGAGAATTGTTTGCAAAAGAGATTGTTTTGCTGATTTATATAGTTATGAACTTTGCCTGAAATTGCACATCAACTTCATTTCCTAACCCCCCTCCCCAGTCATTCTGGAGTGCCTTTTACTGAAAAACACCTCTAATTCTGATTCGTTTATGTTAACGGACCATTTAGAGAAGGAATGGTGTCAGAATACACTGTGTGATGGGGGGAATTTGCCTCAATTGGAAAGAAGGTCGGCATTCCACAGCTAGGACAGTAGCATTTCCAGCCACGGGTGTGCCAGAACAAAGCCAAGCAAGCCTGCTTGCAGCAGCTTGAGATTTGGGCCTTGTAAGAATTCATGTTGCAAGCCTGTTCCCTGTGTCACAGGCATACACCCAAATGGCTTTTAAAGATCAACGGTGATTAATGGTAGTCAGTTTGAAGTGAGAGTCATCTGTTTAAAATTTAGCTCAACAAATGGTGGCTTGCTTGCTAGAACTTGTATTTAATAGATTTGGGAGGGGAAAAAAAAGGAGGTCTAGAAAGGGAGGATAGGATGCTTTGGTGGTGGTTTTATTTATTGAATTTCCCCATGTATCATCATATAGGCTGTTAGCTAGTTTCTGAAACTTTGTGGATGAGCTTCTGGTCTGTGATGGGGCTTAATTCTTAGGGGGAGTTAAGGGTATGCTATGTCTCATTTTAAGTCAGCTACTAGTGTTTGGCAGTGACTAATTCGATATTTTCCCCTTCTTTTTCTCTTGTCTCTCTTGTATGAATACTCAGGTGCACACAGCCACAAGTCAGTGTATCTGAATTTCAACTTGAGGTGCCATTGTTGTGGTATAGCAGTTAAAGCCGCTGCCTGAAATGCTGGCATCCCAAATTGGCACAGGTTTGAGTCCTAGCTGCTCCATTTCTGATCAGACTGGGCCATCTTCTGCTGTTTTCACAGGTGCATTAGCAGGGAGCTGGATCAGAAGTGGAGCAGCCAGGACTCAAACCAGCACTCATATGGGATGCTGGTGTCAGAAGTGGCATCCCAACTCATTGTGCTACAATCTCGGTCCTAACTAGAAAAACTTGCATAGAAAGTAAATTAAGAGAAATTTTGCCTTCACATCTCAACATTCATTTTCTTTTCACTTCTCTGTGCACACATTTTAAAAACTTAGTTGTAGTCAGAATGTAGATACAATTTTGTATCATCTTCTTAATTTGTGTGTGTTTAATATTAGATAGTCTCTACTTTTGAATAGTCACATAGTATCTTATTAACCATTTCTGTATTTTTATATATCCTGTCTCTTCCTTTTGGGACCTATGGCAGTCATTTTTGTGTATGTAACTTCTTCATTTGGGGATTAATTGTTAATCTGAAAAGATGTAGACTTAACAGGTCAAGGAGTGTGGATGTTTTTACGACTTGATGGGTATTGCCAAATTGCTTTCCATAAGAGTTGTTTTAACTTACAATATCGCCCTCACCCTAGGGTGTGATGTACCTGTTTCACTTTCTTACTGGTTTCAGGAACTGTCATTAAAAGGATATATGTTTTTGAAATTATTGCATATAAAATGTACCTCATTTAAATGTATGAATATCTTACATTAAGAAGGTCATTATAATTATGCATCCTTTGAGTTTCTGAGTCCATTATAAAAATTGATGACCGGATAGTTCTCTTGGAGCAGTATGATCCTCAAGTGAATCATGAACATAAAAATTATGTTGCATTTTGTATTTTATTGGAATTTTATATTTATTTGCTACTACTAATAAACCTCCCACTGTTTCTGTACAGGAAATGAGCTTTAAGTCCATTTTCACATCTGAACATTTTCAACAGTGTTTTTTGAAATTATTTTGGTGTTCAGTTAGACATTGAATTTGGAGTTTGTAGAAAAGAAAATAGTTCTGTCACTTTTTTTTTTTTTTTTGTGCATTTTCTGTATGAACTTAAGTCAGGGGCTTACTTTGATCAATAGTTCTGAAACAGGAGTGTGCATCAGATTCACCTGGAGGGCGGATTTGGACCCTAGCCTCACAATTTCTGAACTAGTAATTCTAGGGTTGGAGAATATGATGCCAAGGTTCTTGGTGAGCATAGGCAATTCTGAACATATATTGAGTATGTAGAGTATTTGGAAGAGAGGGACACCCAGATTGTACAGGCAGATAATCTGCAGAAGACAAGTCAACCCTGCCCCTCTGGGGTGTTCGGTGGTCACACACCTTCCTGTGATGTGCTTCTGCCTACCCGCACTGTGGACCTCCCTGGCGCATGCGTGGATGCTACTCCCCAGAGCTGTATGGTGCTTCTCCTGGGTATGCTGGAGGCAGTGTAATTTAATCAGCCTCCATGTTCCGGGCACTGAGGGTATACTGTCTGATTCAATCAGTCCCACGTCTAATCATCATATATATTATGTATGTGTGTGCATGCATGCATGTATTTACTTCAGAGGGCTGTAGTGATCAAATGAGATCATGTCAGTGAAACACCTAGTGTGTTCCTGCCACATCATGAGTGCTTTGGTATTGGTCTCTTTCTGTTGGGAATGGGTGATAAAACCTGCCCCAAAGCTTGCAGGTCTCAGCTGTCTTCCAGTCCTCCTTTCCTGCTTCTCTTATGCGATGGTGCCTTTGTTTCCCCTCCTCACTGCGCACAGGAAGGTTCTGTGGATACACTCTTGTTTCACTGTTACTGGCTTTGATCAGCTTGTGATGGAATACTCTGTCAAAATGTGTCAAAAGCTGTTTCTATCTCATAGACAACTTCTTGCTGGCCAAGCTACACCTTTTATGGGGTGGGGCTAGGAAATACTGGTTAGAATAAGCTTGTGTTTGGCACATATATTTTGGAAAAACCTCTTCTAATTACTCCTTGAGTTTGCCAGGGAACTGCATGTGCTTCTGTTCCTAAAGCACAATGGGCTTGTGTACAGAAACCATGACAACTCTTATCTACTTCACAACTTAATACCCGACATGTTTCCTGATTTTAATTCATTCCTTTGGTGTGTTAAGGTTTGAACAAAGTGCTGAGCTGAATCATATTAAGGAAAATTTTCAATATTCATTGAAGTAGCTTTGGTTATTTGTTTGATTTAACCTTTTATGTAATTGACCGTGGGTAGGTATACAGGTAGGATAAGAGGCAAAGTTTTTTTTCTTCCATGATTTGCTGGAGTTTCATGTCCCTGATTTGGAGATCTGGAGTTGAGGAAGGCAGTCAGCAGACTCCATGACAAGGTAGCCTGCACCAGCAGCACTTTAGTAGGTGCTGTCTCTTCCTAGTCCTCTTTTCCTTGAAGAACAAATTCAGTGTTGATGTTTTAAAGCTTTTGACAGCTCTGACATTCCGTAAATGGTGTATTCTTCTCAGGGACTTCACAGCTAGCAAATGTTTGAGATTCTTGGGGTGCTTCTTTCTCTCTAGATTTGGGGAATACACAAGATATGCATTAATTTCATGTAGCTCTCCCAGGATTTTACCCTCTCCTCTGTGACTTGCAAGAATATTGATAGATATTTTTAGTAGGGCACACAGTAATCTATAAACCATTGACTTGTACTGTGTTACATCAAGGAGAATGCCAATAATAGGAATTAATATTACAGTTTTAGCACAGACTCCCGAGAAGGCATTTAGTTTGAGTAATGTACATGGTTCCATATGGCCGTGAATTGCATTGGAGGTGGAGGGGGGAGGA